TTAGGCAGTCAGTGGGCTCCCACTTATGAAAATTTCTGGATCCGCCACTGTCATGTTTCTTACAACATCAAATAGTATCAATTCTTATCCAATATCTCAATAAAGTGTATTCCATTACGTCATTAATGAGATTACGTGATCCATAATGAAACCGTGGCAAAATTTACTTTAATTTTCTAACATCTTTTGTTGCAGTTGGTTATTTTAATGGTTCATTTGAAAATCCTGCTTAAAATTTTACAATTTGTTGCTTTGAAAAAACTGTTGATTACATTTTGAAATATAAAAGTATAATTCACATCTGTTTCTTCCCCCACAATGCATAATATCAGAAGTCCATTACTAGCTATAGACTAGTAATGGACTTCTGATAATATAAAGTATGAATTACATTGGTGTCGCTTTAAGGTAGCACTACAGTCTAACAATGATTTTTTGAAGATATTTCTTTTATCACATAATTTTGAAGTAAGTATTATTCTGCACAGTTTGTAAAAATCCCAAAGTCATTATCATATCACAACAGGGAGTAAATTGATAATGAACTTATGTAAATAAAAGCACATGTAATTAATCTAAATATATAGGCATTTGGGAGGGGCTAATATGTCAATCATCTGTTGATACCAGTGTCCAGCTGTTAATCCCTGACCACAAGTTAAATATCTCATTGCATTGCAACAAAACTAATTTATAAAACATGGAAGTTTAGAACAGAGAAAAAGAAAAAGATATGAATAGGAAAAAAATTAAAGGGAAAAAATCTACCAAAATGAAAAAAAACTATGGAAAAGAGTGTGAAAGTATCTTTGAAAGCCTCTGACTGCCTGTGTAAATTTCTCGTCTTTGGTCTTCTACATTTAAAAATAATTTTAGGCATTTTAACTAATTTTAAGTTTATGTGAAATTTTTTAATTCCATGAAACTCATAAATCATGTTGGACAGTCTATTTTCAAGAAGGGGATGGTCTTGATCTTTTTATGGACATGTATTTTAATTTTAATATTTTAGCTAATTTCAGTCATCATGGTCATATTATATTTCTTTTTAAAATTCAAATGAAAATTATTCTTTATAGTGAGAATAATGATGTTAAATATTAATTATGATGCAGCTGGCCAATCCTGTTATTCTCTTATCTTAGACTGTCTGTACAGAGGCGGAGCTTTGTCTTTATTTAATTACTACATCACTGATGTTGGTCAAATCTGTGACGTCAAACTCCCGCCAAATGCCAAGTTAGTGTTATACAGTGCACACAAAATGCAAATTTTACAGCATTAGAGCATCAAAGACACAATGTGTGTGGTCCTATTGATAAAGTAATGGTGTCAGAACACTCCTGGGGTGTTCCCAGTGGAATTTTTGTATTTATGTGGCATTTATAGGGGTTCTTAAGAGGAAATTCAGTTTTAAGGTCATTTCTCAGAACAATTTTTCATGAGAATTGTAAGGAAAAAATGAAAATAGAAACTTTATTGGTACCCCCTTTGGCTTGACTTTGATATATGTGATTGAAGGGAGTATTTTCTACAATACCGTGTCCCAGTTTTTGGATAATTTGTTTCTAAATGAATTTATAGGTCTCCAAAGATGAAAGGTGAAATGAGGTTTGGCATCCAGCAGTAAAAATAATATATCTTATTACTGGAGGCATATATGAAAAATCTGAGACACGGTTTTGTAGATTGTGAATGGTTGATTAAAGGGATGAAAACAAATTTTTACTACCATTTGACCTGAATGTGCCATTTTCATCCAAGTTGGAAGACCACTTTTTTGGCAATTAATGAGCTATATTTTGAGATTAATCATTCTAAAAATAAATTTATCTATAGATTAAGAAAGAGTTATATTTCAGCTTTAAAATGAGTTAAAGATTTTAAAAATCCATTGAGTACTTTTGGAGAAATTAATCTTTAAAGACTGTTGGTTGGAGTCAGAAAATTCTGACTGTAGTGCTACCTTAAGTTGTTTTTAAATCATTATATAAATTACCCACTTATATTACGATAAAATTGTAAATGTTGTATTCATTAATTACTAGTAGATAAATAACACGTACATGAATACATGTACATGTAATTAGTAATTAGCTGTTTGTGTACTGCAGTTATATAACACATGCAATATTCCCACATGGACAGAAAATATGTAAATAGAACCATACAAATATAACATCTCAAATAATACGGTTGCTATATTTTTTTCTAGGTCAAAATTATTTGAATACATGTATGTATACTATGGTCATTTTAATTCCAGAGTTATAGATTATAATACGTTGTATACATATTAAACTGACCACGTTGACCTAGATAGTATCAAGTAAACAAACACATTTTCAATAACCACGCGGTGTTTAACTGTCGGACATAGATGATTAGATTGTGTTGATATTAAATCGGAATAACTAAAAGGACAAAATGACCAAGAGTTTAAAATGACCAAGAATAAATATGTTGTGCGGGATTCAAATGACCGGTTTTCAGATGTAGAAAATGGAATACAAATAAATACTTGTGGAAAGACTGAAAATGGATACTCGTACGAATTGACTCCCGTAAAAAGTGTTGACTCTTTTTCATTTTTCGGTCGTCCATCGTTCCTTCGATCAAAATGGTGGGACAAAAAAAGACGAAAAACGTTTTCTTTGTTTGGACAAATCTTATCGTTGGTATTATATGTGATGTATATGGTCTATGCGATTTGGTATGACAACGACAATGTTATGCTACTGGTATTTGACTGTATTATAGTAATTATATGGGTTGCCTCCCATGCCGAGAAGTCTAGACAAGTTTTCATTTTTGCTGGAAAGAAGATTGTAAAAGCTCATAAATCACTAAATTTAAAAGTCCCATTTTTGCGAGCGTAAGTATTAAAATTTAAGAAATGTTTTTCATTGTTTGATTTTCTTATACTTTTCTAGTTCAATGTTTTCAGTAGCATAATTTGCCATATATTGATATCATTTCCAGTTTCAATCGGCATAACGCTTATTTCGTATATATCTATTTTCTAATTCTTAAAGCTTGTACGATACATTTAGAATTTGCAGTTTTCTTAAATTGACATTAAAGTTGATACTCGAGTGTGAAATTATCACTTTCAATTTACTTAAACAGGAATAAAAAATGTCTTATATTTTTCAATAAAAGTATCAAGTATTCACCATAATCTAAAATTTGAAAAATATGCATTTCACTTTTCTCTATGTACATGATGTATTAATTCAAGATTGAAATTCTGAAATATCCCCCTAAGTTTGTTCCATATTCTTCATGTCCGTACAACCTGATAAACTACATAAAGTCATTGAAGAAAGAAAATGGATAAAAATTAGATAATACTTTAAAGTATACTCTTAAGAAATATTTAAAAGTCTTGACCTTATTGGTCATGGTCAGTCATTCACCTTTACGAGATTATTAAAGAAATCAATGAAGCAAGACATTATCATATTTTGACTAGGAACGAAAAACACTCATGTTAAGCAGCGACCATTCATCTTTTTTAGTGAGGGGGCACGTTCCAACCTCTATACACATAAACGATGAATGGTCGATGCCTTTTACTTATAAAAATAGATGAAAAGAATAGATTTAATCATTTAAATTCAATATTAGACAGTTATTCTCTCTTTCCTTTTTTAGTTGAATTGCAAAATGATCTAATGAATAAACATGCTTACTATGCGGTATGGGTTTTGCTCATTGTTGATGGTCGTACGGCGACCTATAGTTTTTAACCTCTATGTCATTTGGTCTCTGGTGGAGAGTTGTCTCATTGGCAATCATACCACATCTTCTTATCTTTATATAAACGTACCTGGACGGCTTTGTTTTTGTTTGAGACAACTAGTCCTGAGATGTATATTTCCATTCAATGTTATAAGTATTTATAACCTACACACATCTTACATGTTATCGTGGTAATATCCTATTAAAGTACATGAAGTACGGTCTTCATTAAAAGATTGCAAACAAATCATTTACTTATTATTTTCCGGGAATAAACAAAAAATGCTTGCTGAATCAATATTGCTCTGATGAAAAGTTTAACTCAATTTTACATTAAACATGAATAACCTTTCCTTTAAATAACAAGGACAATCAAAGAAAAAATGGAGCATGTCCTCAATATCCAATCCACATCTACATGTTGGACCGGATTTAATGTTAGCTCTAAATAAGTCACAATTCAAGAAAAATGTCGAAGATTAAGATTATGTTCAATTTTTCTAGGAACCTATAAATAATGTTGAGATTAATATCATTCCGAATGTCGTGTTTTTTAATTTTATTTGATATTTTGATAATGAGCCTACATTTTGAACTGAAATGTACATATTATTCTAAAGTTTAATTGTTGAGGGAATAAATGATTGGGAAGTCAGTGTCTGCCTGCAAAACCAAATGGTAAAATAATATCTTGTCCATTTCGCAAGGGATATTGTGTTGTACTTTGAACGTTAGGGGGCACAAGACTACATAAAGGAGCATTATTATTCTGACTTTCCTGAAACAATTGTAATTTAATTCAATTTTCTTATTAACTTGAGACATGTTAGAGCATGTTTCGTTTACCGAAGTTTTGTTAGTGTGGCTTTACCATGTTTAAGCAACAATCAGTTCCAGATGTTGCATGACATGCAAAGAAGTCTCAATACTAAAAGGTCTTGTAAGAATATAAATATTAAACGGTCATGTCATGTTTGTTGGAATCTTTTGCAAAAAGGTCTGTATTGTCGTAATTTAATACAAAACAGCCTAACTTATTGGAACTGTCAGATAAAATGTTTTATTTTAAATCGTTTTCGAGGAAGCATTTATTCCATACTGACATTTTGGAGTGTATTTTAATACTCCGGATACTTTTACTTTTTAAAGTAACCATGTTGAAAAGAATTATTTTACTTTTCAGAATAACCATGTTGAAAAGAATTATTTTATTTTTCAGAATAACCGTGTTGAAAGGAAATTATTTTATTTTTCAGAATTATTACAATAGTCACTCTTCTTGTGATATTTGGATTTCTATGTTACGACTGGTATCAAGATAAGCGAAAACTGGTACCTTTTGGTGGACTACTATTTTTTATCCTTATTGTGTTCATTACGTCACGATCTCCGTCAAAGGTAAGTTACAAAATGTAGATGGGAAACGGTTCACCTTGAAATATTTTACTTATGATGAAACCCGAATAATCCAGTCGTTGTTTTCCGCTCCCTACGAATACTACATTTTAACACTGACCGTAAGAGGGAGCTAATTATTCAGGTTACTTATGCTATAATAACTTACTTATCTTAAGCTGGCAGATATGTTTGTAACATTGAAGCACACATAACTGCTTCGGTCAAATTATTGACAAATATTTTTTTTTTTTAAATAAACATGATAAATGTGTTTTAAAATTAAACCGACAAGTATGATTGCCACTACATAAAGGCAACTTTATAAGAGAGCGTGGATTTCATTTTTGGATTCATTAATCTTATTTATTTTTTCCCGTGATTCTCTATTCTATACTTTATCAACCTATTGATCACTTATCTTTTTTTTTTTGCCTTTTTTTTTTCTATTTTCGTTATTTGTTGGCCTATTTTCTGTAGTCAGTTAATGCTATCCTGTAAACTCCATTTACACCCTCTCGTAAAATTTTAAAATAAGAGGAAGGTCATACCATCTGAATCTTCTACTGCCAAATCAGTTAGGAACTTACCTTTTTCTTGTTTTTCTTATACTCAATTTGATACGATACCAAAAGAGAAAACAATCAAAACCGATGAAGTATTACATGGGAAAATTATTAGACAGTCGGCTGTCAGACCTTTATTTTATATATGTTTGCATTTAATTCTAGTAATTTGATAATATATCGCTTGAACGACAAAAGACGAAAAACTATAGATCCAATATTTTTTTTTATTTGTTGAATGATCCTGGACTAAATCATATTCTTTAAGGCTTAAGGACTCTGACTTCCTACGGTTTGTTTTTGTTGTATGTTATATACATCTATATTTACTGCAGGTACAATGGACCCCCGTTATATGGGGCATAATTCTTCAGTTTGTTTTGGGTATGATCATTCTACGGTGGCCCACAGGGTATGCAGTATGCCAGTTTATAGGGGACCAAGTCACAGCCTTCCTTGCCTACACAGACAATGGGTCCAGATTTGTATTTGGCGATGAAGGATTAAAAGACCACCCTGTAGTGTTTAAAGTAAGTTCATTCATAACACAAACATTTGTTTTTGCACTTCAGTCTTTAGATTTGAGCCGAATTATAATTCAAATATTTTATGTGTAATTGTATGGGAATGTCATGACGTAAATATTAATTGTACTGGTTTTTGGAGTCGTGTTTCTAGGTCTATTTTCTTTTGTGTAATGTTTTGTGTAATGTTGAGTTTTTGTCTGTTTTCATTTGGCGATGAGGTAATCTGTCATTTCGAATTACGGGTGTGGCTCTTAAATACTCTACCCATTTGGTATCTTCCAATTTGTTTACGTTCCAGCAATACGTTGCCGTTGGTTACAAACGATTTATCTCTAAGTTTTGGAAATGTGTTTAGACAGTTAATATTAAAAGCTCTGTTTTTCAGAATTGTGTCTCATAGCCATATATGGTCAAAACATAAGAAGTTATCGATTTATACGTACAATGTATGAATGAAATATGTACAAGGACAAACAATCAATTTGTCGATATATCTTGTAACAGAAATCTACCTTTCAAAAAACATGAAAAATGATTGTTGTTATAACCTGATGATTTTGTTTTTAAATTGGACCATGTAATCCAATGTCTGTCTAATATAACTGTGTTTCGTTTATTGTTTGGTCATCCATCAGACCGTTTGTTTTTTCGCTTGAATTATTTATCGTGTTGTCATGTTGGTGGATTTTTATGGCTGAATATATTACGGTATGATTTTTGTTCCTTGTTAAAGGTCGTACGGTGACCTACAGTTGCTAAACTGATAGTTGTTTCATTGGAAATCATACCACATATCCTCATGATATACTGTATATAAAATGTAAGAATCTGATACACGTGCTTTGGAGACGTGTTTCTGGAATAACCGTCGTCAGGTAAGCTCAAGGTCAAACAATTTTGGAGTTTAAGAGTATCAGTGTTAATAAGGGTCTAACAATAAGGGCCAACACCGTAAAAGACGGTCTGGATGGTAGGTCATCGTTTCTGTTATCTTTAAAAGTTTAGGCAAGTTTTCTCTATTTTCTCTATTCATTTTGTCATTCAATTTAGTTCACTATTCTTTATAGTTAAGAACCCAATTATTCTCTATTCTTTTTTTTTGTCTGTTTTTCTTTGTGTTTTCTTTATTAGGTATTTTTCTGTGCTCTTTATCCACTATTCTCTATTCTGTAAACCTCATTCATATTTTAGTACCCCATTGTTCTCTATTCTTTATTTTTTTGTCTGTTTTACTTTGTTTAATCTTTGTTATGTATATTTTCTGTGCTTTTTATCCATTATTCTCTATTCTGTAAACCCCATCAATGATCCAGACCCTCGTATAAGATCAGATTTGACTGAGGTAGTTGCAACCATGTTATAGTGTGGTAGAATAAGATAAGTTATTAACAATCAAACATTGATAGTTTGAAACACTGGGTTTTTGGCCGATGTTACTGAAAGTCAGACAACAGTGGCACCATTATTGCTAGTAAAACGTTATTGCTTAGGACTAAGTTCAAATATCGTCCTTCAAATATAGCACAAATCAGAAGAAATATCCGTAAATCCGTTTTGAATTTACAAAAAAAAAAAAAAGGGGGGGGGGCGAACTTTTTACGAAGAATCCTACGAACTCAAAACAGACAATGACAGAACAAGACTCTAATATTGCAATAAAGTATGCTTACTAAATAAAAGACATAAAATTTAAAATACTTTTATTTCTATTTCAGATTTTGCCTGTAGTTGTCTTTTTCAGCGCAATCGTCAACATCCTGTACTATCTTGGCGCCATGCAAGTAATAATCAAAGGTATAGCACGTGTGCTCAGATTTGCCATGAAAACGTCACCGATGGAATCGTTTGCAACATCCGCTCATATATTTGTTGGACAGGTACGACAGTCTTTCAATCAATCATATCTTTGAAGAATTACCTAATCATGCATATACGCAATTTCATTATACAATTTTGGAAATCATGATGAATCTCTCTTGCGTAGCTCTGATTCATTGTCAGAATTTGGCATTACCTGTTGGTTCCTTTTGGTTTAATAAGCTTTTCAACGTTTGCAATATGTTTAGGATTTTCTCATATTTTGGCCTCGAATGTCACTGAAGAACATTAATTGTTGAAATGTGCATCTGGTGCAATAAAAATTGGTATCGTTAACGTTATCAACATAAGTATATTAAATCAAATGCAATTTTTTCATTTTTTATAATGCATAATTTTGGGGGTTTGCCACATCAGAACAAGGCCTTTGCAATATAAAAAAAGTAATAGTTAGTGTACTTACATGAGCAACATGACGGGTGTCACATGTGGAGCAGGATTAGTATTGCTCAGTCTCTAGTATTCTTTGTTGTTTTTGTAGACTGTTTGTCTTTTCATCGTTTTTCGTAATTTGCCATGGAGTTGTCGCTTATCCGTGTTCGACTTATAAATTAGAGATATCTCTTTGGTGTCTTCCGCTTTTCTTTTTGAATTTGGGTATGAATTTGTAAATACATGTATGTAAACAATGCGTACAGATTTTGAAAAGATATCATAAAGGACGATGCAGGACCATTGGATAATATATTCTATATTTAAAAAAAAAAATTCTTGTATTATTTATGTCACCTTTGCGGAGGTAAAATAAAACACGAAATGATAACATAATAGGTAAAATATATTCTTGTCACGAATTCAGTTAAATAGATACTTTTAAATAGCTTGTCTTTTATATTATTTGTAGGTGGAATCGAGTATAGCATTGAAACCGTTCATCAATGACGTGTCAAGGTCAGAGCTTAATGCTATCATGACTGGTGGATTTGCTACAGTTGCTGGAACTGTCATAGGAGCTTATATAGAATTTGGGGTACTTATTTATTGGTTAGTAAAAAAAATCAGACTCTTGTTTGATTGAAAATGTCATAAATGGTTTTATTCCTTACATCCATTTTAACTGAACTCTGGTGGATAGTTGTCTCATTGGCAGTCATACCACATCTCCTTATTTTTATATTATTTGTACGTGATGGAAACAGTTTTATTTTCACTTTAGTTCACAGTTAATTTCTGCATTTTGTGTTGCAGATTATCCATTTTCAGCCTTACTTGGGCAAAATTATTTATTTTCAGTTCTTACTAGGCCAGGATATTTATTGTAAAAATTGGTAACTTGCAGAATCGATACAGATATGACTAAAACATTCAAAAGTTTCATACATCGCATAATTACGTTCAAAAAAAGAACAAAATTGATAAAAAAATATCATCCATGCATGTCATTTTGATCTCTGGTGAATAGTTGTCTCATTGGTAAAATACCACATCTCTATATTTTTATATTTAATAACACTATTAATGTTATAAGTTACGTTATTTAAAACGATACATGTTTTGTTAGCATATATTCTCTGACTAGAAACTCGCCGCGATATAGCCTTGTTGTGCTAATGCGGCGTAAAGCAACCAACAATCAATCAATCAATCAATCTGACTAGAAACATACACATGCCAGCCCTTGTAAAGTTCATTAGATGTATTTATTGTAATGATAGTCATATGAATAGACAAATGATTGACAGGTGAGTTATACACTGCGTTTGGTGTTATATTGTGTTGGAATTAGCCTCAACATTTGGCCTGTATGTATTACTACTAGTATTTGACTTTTAAAAATATTGATATTGGAATAACTCTATTTTTGTCATATATGATTCCACAACTGATACTAGGTAAAGGAAAGAAGTTTGAAAACTACATGTCTAGATACATATTGATAGAAATTGACTGAGACTACGTAATAGAATTTAAAATTGAATGTGAAGTTAACGTCAATGTTATAGCATGCAAAAGATAAAAAAAACAACAAAAAAGACATCATTCAGTCCACATTCAGAAATATATCAATGCAAGTGTATTGTTTGACCTTATAACTTTAAATGATTGAAAGGGAAGATAAAAACTAGTCCTATAAAAAATAGAAGATGTGGTAAGATTGCCAATGAGACAACTCTCCACCAGAGACCAAATGGCGTAGAAGTTAACAACTATAGTTCACCGTACGGCCTTCAACAATGAGCAACACCTAAACCACATAGTAAGCTATAAAAGGCATAAAAATGACAAATTAAAAAACCCAATTCAAGACAAAAAAACTAATGGCCTGATTTATGTACAAAACAATAAACGAAAAACAAATATGATATATACAGCAACAAACGACATTCATTGAATTACAGGCTCCTTACTTGGGACAAGCACATACAGAATGTGGCGGTGTACAACATAACAGTACAGCATAAGAACAAACTATGAAAAAGGGCTTAACTCATCAGATTTATACAAAGCAGAAATACAACTACCAAAAAAACAAGACCAGACGTTGGAGGGAATGTATACATCCCCCACAACAAAAACGACACAAAGTACAGATCTGAGAGCACTTGCAGTTACTGACAGCTATTTCAAAACTTATAACAACTAATAAAATAATCATGTATCTAAGACAACCATTTTCCTGGTCCCTTTAGAAATTCGAAGAATTATTGCGATATTTTTTAGGCTGGTAAGATCTTGTAGCTTCGAAACAGTAATTTTATAATTATTGTACGAATATCACCACACAGCAGGCCTGCTTTTCACAAATAAAAGACACGACTTATCGAAACCGTCGATCGTAACTGAAATAGATATTCACAACTTTTGGAATTTTATGTCGTTCGGTTGCTGTCTCATTGATGTTTATCACAAATAACCTTTTATTTCTATGAATTAATAGATGAATTCATAGAAGTAATTGATAAATTAGTGACCTTAAAGTGTACCGTTCTCACCAATGAGTAAAAAAAAGAAAATTGTTAATATATTTTAGTTACTGGTTTTCGCCAAGATTTGAATTTTGAAACCCAGAGCAAACAAAATGACAGAATATGTCCATATATTTTTTTAACCGTAATGAACATTTTAATGTTGTGAATTATTTACATTACAGGTGCCTGCCAATCACTTAATAGCAGCATCGTTTATGTCAGCTCCGGCGGCATTAGCGGTTTCTAAACTCGGATGGCCAGAGAAAAAGAAGATGGATGGATTCAGTATGGACAATATAAGCATTAACGTAGGGTAAGTATAAATATATATCAATCTTAATTAGATAAACATAAGTCACCAATAATAATCTTGAATGTTTAGTTTGTCTCTCGTGCTATATATATATATATATATATATATAGGTACATGTATGAAAAGGGGTCATATGGAATAGTGGATAGGACAGTAAAAAATGATTGTATGAAATCATATGTCTTGTATATAAATTAATTGATTGATTGATTGATTGCCTAACGTCCGATTGCAAATATTTCATGCATATTCAAGACCAGTACAAATTAACATGCCTGATTACTGTGTTCGACATAGTGGTTCGACTGATGTTAAGATTAAGATTAAAATTAAGACTAACTTTGGACTACTGGAAAATGAGGTTTGTTAGGGGAAATTATTTTGCCTTGTAACACACACGTCACATACGGACCCATTAAAACGTTTTTGCAATGGTTCTTTAACATGGAGATACTGTGGCCCTTTACCTACAGGGAATGTAACATCCACATTCCGACTGCAAGGGGATGTGTTTTTATTCATCCCGCACTGCTAAACGAACTTCCTTAGCAATAGTTTTACTGCCGAACGGGTGATATCCAGGTGACTATATCTCAAAACCCGAGCAAACCCTTGTAATGTTTCTGTACTTTGTATTTGATTTTTGCCAATCATGTTTCTTTAAATATTGCTTCATTTGGGTATTGCCAGGGTTTATTGACGGAAACAATTTGCCGGTTGTTCCTGAACTACAATTGTAAAGAATACTAATTCTAATGTATAATCCATGCGCGTTTGTGAATATTCATTATGAATAAAGGTTTTAAGAAGTTGTACAGTAAACATTGTAAAAGTGCATACGGGTTATAAAATAGTGCATTGATAAATATAAATACGTAGAAGCTCTCTAAAGATCTATATAGTACTTACAGAGTATATTATATCTGACATCTTTCAATTAGTTGTGTATAATATGTTTTAGAAAAGAATCAAACTTAATGGAAGCAGCATCTGCAGGAGCGACATCTACCGTCAAACTTATAGCTTATGTTGTTGTCAATCTGATCGCATTCCTTGCCATTCTATCGTTTGTTGACGCCATTATTTCATTTTATGGAGATAGAGTTGGTCATCCAGAAGTCAATTTTGAGGTATTTATATTAGTATATACCTTATCCCCCCTTTTTACTTGAAACGCATGCAAAAGAATAATTTTGTTAAGCAACAACATACCCGAGGCACTGTGATCCGAGGCTTACTGAGAACAAAGCGATAAAACTATAATCATGCCAATATGTTAAAATAGCCAATTTATAAATTGGTATAAAATCTTTTTTTGATTATATTCTTTATGGGTAGCAACCTGAAGAAATAACATTTAAATAAAATTATCGTTTACATTTTAACGCAATTGTCTTTTATGAGATAAGTAAGCATTTCGTTTTTATTGACTTTATGAAAAAAGTTGAAATTTGCCGAGACCAACAGTCTACCTTCTTAAATGCATTATCTATTATCCTTGGTGCTTTGTATATTACAATGGACATAATTGGTTCAATTCTTTAAATAAGGACTTCATTTTTTAATTCAATACAGATGTTTATATCATGTTTAATAAAAGCAAAAGGAGAAACTGTGTTAATCTGTATAATTCAACCACATTTTGTCAAATTCAGGGGCATAAACATATGCCTGTTTGACTAGATCCTACTTTTGACTTAACTTGTGTTGTTGGATTTATGTCCCATTGACTTTTTATCGTCATTTTATACAAAACTTTTAAACATCATTGAAATCCAAATCATGTTTAACAAACCTTGTTCTGTTTCAGTGGCTCTGTTCATACATTTTCATGCCATTAGCTGTCATTATGGGAATACCATGGAAAGATTGCCGCGTTGTAGCCACTTTGATTGGAAAGAAAATTGTACTCAATGAATTTTTAGCGTATATTGACCTAGGAAATCTAATGCGAGAAAACAAAATTGAGGTAAGATTCGATTTATAACCTGCTCGAAATGGGGAGCGTATACTATTTTATGTTCGTCCGTCTGTCCGTTTTTCCAATGAAATCTCCGTCGCATTTTTCTACGGAACTACACATCAGAGCTTCATGAAATTTGTTACCAGGCCTCATGTGATTATGCTTCACCGTGTGATTCGTTTTCAGCTTCATCGCTCATCAACTTCATAACTAACGTAAACTTATTTATTCTTAAAATGACCATATTTGGTGTCAACTTTTATTTTAGCATGCTATTCCTTTTGCAGCGTTTTCACATCCAATGCTTTTCAACTTCAACGGGGGTAATGTTTGTGAGACAATATCACCAAGAATATTGCTTATCCCTTTAATGCCGAGCTACTTTAAAGATATTTTCAAAACTGAACAAAAATATTGCTTATAACTAATCTGACCATGATCAATTTATTTAGAAAAGAAAATAAAATTGTCTAAGTTTTATATCATGGCACTTATCCTCAGTGTTGTTTTGTGTCCATTTTACATCTCCTTTTTGGTAAACTGTGCTATTATTTCCGTATTTCAGGGTCGCTCTGCAGTTATCTCAACATACATATTATGTGGGTTTGGAAGTATAGCAGCTATGGGGATAAATTTGGGAGCATTGATTGCAGCTGAACCTAGAAGACGGAGAGATTATGCTAGAGGAGTTTTCAGAGCATTTGTTTGTGGAAATATTGCATGCTTCATGACGGCTTGCATTGCAGGTTAATATATGGTGTTATAATGATTCTTTGATATTAAACTCAGATATCAATATATGGAAATGTTGGGTAAACAACAATGGGACAGCAACCCTGTTATTAAATGAAAAACAAAATACATTCAGAGGTCAACATACAAGTATATCTCTCTCATCAACAATTGACAGGTGTCTATTTAACAAAATACATTCAGAGGTCAACATACAAGTATGTCTCTCTCATCAACAATCGACAGGTGTCTATTTAACAAATACGGTATATCAAATTAGTCTAAACAGCTTTATTATTCTAACCTCATGGGGGGACACTAATTTACAACCATTTTTCAGCAATCTGACCTTATTTTATGGATAAGTATGATAATGTAGGAAATCTAATTATATCAAATGAGGCATTGGTATAAATATGTTTGTAGTATATAAAGTATATTATTTACTGACTGACCAGTTTTTGATGAAACTAAACGAAAGTGTAAATATGAATAAAAAGAGATAAAGGTCAATCAGACAGTAACTCAACGACAAATATGTTTAGCCTTTTTATATATATATATATAGATTCTACCACTGCATCGAGTGTGATACGATATTTATCCACTCGAGACAGTTAAATTTTCAAATTTAAAACGCGAGGCTCGCCGAGCGTTTTAAATATTTAAAATTTAACTGTCAAGAGTGGATAAATATCGTATTACACGAGATTTGGTGGTGGAATCTGTTTCTCTAATGATTTTCAAACAATATGCAGGCAAACTTATTCCGTCTTTTCGAATGATCTGTAAAAAGATGTGTTCTTTCTATGTGACGTCATCAGGCATGGTCGCCTTTTTTCATGCCGTCACAATAGGAAATTCAGAGGAAAGCAAGTAAATTCGACGTCATAATCGGATTTTAACCAATGAAGAACTGAGATCAAACGAACCACACGTTGATTAAATTTTTTTTATACAATGGGTGCAGAAAGGGATAAATTGACGAAGAATTAGAGAAATATATATATATTATGTCAATGATATTAATGTTAGAATGATTGTTACTATGTGTGAACTAGGAAAGCGTAAAAAGTAAAACAAAAGATAATTTGTAAGTTCTTTGAACGGCTTAGACCACATGTACAGTTCCATGCTAGTTTTTTTTTTTTTAGATTTGTAGAAACCAAAGCTTGACTAGAATTACATATATTCATGTACTTAAACTTTTATTTTTCAGGCATGCTTTACACAGAGCCTCTTCCGGTCTTCAGTAATTCTACAGATTTCAACACCACATCGAATTCATCGTTATTCAATATGACGTCATCAAATTCCTCATTATTTGTAATAAATCAGACGACTACAGCTGGAGGGTTAGGTTAGGGAGCTCACAATTTTTTTCAACATTATTAAAATTTTATACAACTTCTATGAATTATTTATTGTTGCTATAATAATCATTGACCACGTAATCACGCAAGTGAGTTTATTCTATACATGAATATTTATATATGACAATACGGATATGTGACATATGATAGCCAATGGACAACTATCTAACAAAAACCATAGGATGTGCACAACTACAAATCTACATACGTTCTTCTACAATGAGCTATCCATGTATTACTGTAGCATCTTCGCTAGCCAAGGGTTACAATCAGTTTCAGTCTTATTCACCCTTGGCAGATTAAGACAGAATATGTGTATACAGCGTTGTGATTCTAGCGACAGATAGAAGTCACGCATAATCCGACTACACCATTCTTGACCAATGGCAGCACTTGACCAATTTTTAATTCGGGGGTGTTAAAATGGGTGGTCAAGTGTTTACAAATTTCATTGAATCAGAAATCGCTAATACTAGTATACGTTGACATTCCAACTTTTGCAGGAGGAACTTACAAAAGAACTTCAATTAGTTGATTAAAACTTTAAAAGTGACACTGAATATCGTCCCCTTTTCCCCAAATGTGACCTACCGAATTAGACTTATCAACGGGTTTGTACTTACATGAGGTGCCACGTGTGGAGCAGAATCTGCTCACCCTTCCAGATCACCTGAGAGCAACCCAGTTTTTGGTGGGGTTCGTGTTGCTCAGTCTTTAGTTTTATATGTTCTGTTTTATGGTACTGTTGTTTGTCTGTTTGGTATCTTTTGCCTCTCTTTTATAGATTTTTATAGATGGCTTCATATTCAAAAATGTTTAATAGCATTATAACTAAAACTGTGCAAAGTTTCATGCCTTTACTATAAAGTGGTAAGTTATACCAATATATTGGACGTAGCTTCTTGACTGTTGGTGGCCATTTTGGAATTTGTTTAGAAGGCTCCATATCCAAAAATGTTTATAAGCATTTCGGATCCACGAGGTAATTATTTCCATTGGTTGCAGTTGTAACTGGCTGCATCCAAACAAAATGCGCCTTAAAGATGATCACTTGTAAATATAGAAAAAGTTAATAATCAATTATACACCACGTTTATAGGAGGTCCGATAAACATTCATAGCTACCATTCTGAGTTTAAAGGCTCTATTTTATATTCAAGACAACTTATAAATTTTAAAATTATGATTCCCTAAAAACCAGCATAATAACAGATGGAATTATTATTCATTAGGCTAAACTGTAATATGCTGAAGATTATACATGACAATGAATATATATTAACACTTGGGACGATTAAAAGTTTGTCATAGAGACAACTGTCTATTTTTGGAAGATTGTATCTGGACCTGTAGATGTCTCTTGATTATTTGTGTCTCTGGGTTGCTGTATAGACGTTGACGTGTGCAACACATGTACTTTATTGTGATTATTTGTAAACTCGTATGATTTGTGAAGTGCTGTCATACATGTACCTCCCCGTGCAAGGAGTGGGTAATTTGCGCACGTGCTGCATTCCTTGGATGTGGTAGCCGTTTCGCATTATCCCTCTACGGAATCGAAATATGATTCCCCGTTACACGTTACAACCATGATTGGCATATCACGTACCATCGAAAGTTGATATGACAGACATTTAAAAGATACGTCACCGGCGCGAGGCCGTGCGATCAACACAAAGTTATCCAGTCTCACTAATCCGACGGGCACTTGCTAACCCGACTTGTTTTGATTAGTGTTGTCAAATCGAACAGTTTTGACTAACCGGTTACTATGATAATATTTCGACCGATTAACCGGTTAACCGGTAGGTAGATGTAATGTTTAAAGGCCTTACTTACAAATTTGCGTTTTAATGATACGATAAATTGAAGTTTATCCTGGTTTAGACAATACTTGGTCATGTTTTATGAAGATTTAAAGCCCAAGGCGTAGTCGAGGGTTTTAAATGTTCATAATACATGACCAAGTATTGTCTGACCAATTTAGAACATATTCACACTTTCGAGTGACCTTACAAAATTATCCTTTCCCATTGTAATATTCAAACCTTTATAAGAATTCACTTTTTATAATGAAGTGCTAACTAGGTTAACAAAAGTTACACCCCAGTTTTATTTTTATACTTCACAGTTTCTATTTCTGAAACAAATGTAAAGTGAATAGATCTATTGTTACGAATAACAATGGATTTTGACCACAGGGTGTGACGAGCGGGGTTTCTGGAAACCCCTGCTTCTACATCCCGAAAACACAGTCCATTGTTATTCATAACCATATGAATTGGTTTTTTTAAATAGCATGAACATAAGAGATTACGAATAGTATTCACTACAAGTTGTTTCAAGACATATTAAAAAAAAATATTTCAGGAAATTCCAATAGCGAAAAAAATCTTTAGCATCTATTTTGAATAAAAAAAAATCATTTAAATACTCCTTAGCTTGAAGCTACAATTCTAATCCCATATGGCGATGTCTTAAAAACATACATAAAAAGAACTTTTATGTAAAGTATACATTAAAACATATAGTTTACATTTGGACTAAGTCTTAATCATAAAAATAAATTTATTAATGTTTTGATTGTTGAAGATAATGATGGCACCCAGGGGCGGATCCAGCAATTTTTTTAAAAAGGGGTGCCAACCCAAAATACAAAGGGGGATTCCAACGCTCGGAACCACCCCCCCCCCCCCCCCCCCCCCATCTTTTGGATTGCCCCCCAAAACGGGGGTTCCTACATATGCAATCTGTACTTTTGTATGTTAAGTGTGTCCGATCGTCCAGTTTCTAATCCAGACACACCTATTCCTTAGTATGTTCGAAATGAATTTTCTATTGTTTATGTTGAAAAGAGGTTGGGGGGGGGGGGAGGGGGTATGGGTGTGGCTTTTTTTTTTTAATAAAACCGTAACATGTAAAATAAATTTATGGGTTATAAAAATTGCGTTATCATTAGACTCTTCTGCCAAATCCAACGCCTTACTCAAAATATCGCACATCTCATACCCGTCCATATTGACAACTGCATATAAGGAGCATGATGTATTTATTTTTATATTAAGAATGCACGATATGGCCAACCTTGACCTGCCGATCCATATAAGCACATGGATTTAACGGGAATATGCAAAACGGCAACTTTGACATTTGTAAAATCTACTCACTTGTCAAAGTTCGAATGAAGACCGTCAAAGTAAGGTTACTAGTGGAGATTCATTAAAAAAAAAATCTTATTGATCATGGTTTGATATTGTCAAAAAAATGCTATCCTTTCTTTTTCATTTAATATTCAATAAACAAATATAGGGTTTAGCATCGGGTGTAAGTTAGTTATACACTTCGGGATACGATGTGTCTGGATAAGAAACCCTTCCGGCCTCCAGCCGTCGGGGTTTCTTATCCAGACACACCTATCCCTCAGTGTATAACTATTACGAATGTATAACATAGGTAATGATCATTCAATGTATAGAATGAAATAGCACTAACATTTCATAGTATGTACCTTTTCATAGACTAACCTAGACGTATTACACGGTTTGGTTTTGAGCATTTTTGGTGTTTTAAATAATCCAATTCTACCTCATCTACTATGAAGTTTGTGATAACTTCATATTTCGAGTCGGCATTTCGTTTAGAGTACGACAAAACCTTGTGTGATGGAGGTGGATGTACTTATACATGCATTGCTTAATCTTTGAGACAAGCATAAAATTATGACTACCGGCAGGATCAACCTGCAGATATGTACCCTCAACTTTAAAAAAAAATATTTTTGGTTTTCCCTGTATTAGTATCGGCCAAAAACCAGGGTGCCGTGCACATTTAAGAGGGAAAGTCGGGCCCGTCGACCCTTCGATCCCATTCTTCGTTGTACCTCGCCACCAGCATGCAGTGTCCGCTTTTATTTCATTTTTTTTTTGCCATCGTTTGTCCCACCTGGTTGGGGTCGTTTCGACGTTTCTTTCCCGTTTAGAAAAATCGTTCGAACTAAGAAAGAAAGAAAAAATGCGACGCACCGACCACACGAGAGTAATAACCAAGATGGGACCAAGCTTTATCCCTTCCTTGCCTCCTCTGTCGTGTCGGTGTATTTTTTATTTCTTTTCCGCCTCTCCTTTCTTTTTACCGTGCGCCGGCTGTTTATATATAATTACCGGTTGAGACCGAGGAGACCTTTGCGAGACGTGTCAGATGCGGTGATACCAAAGCTAGTACCGTGCGACTGATTTGTCCCTGCGTGTCTGAAACAGTGTTTTGTACCCGGACTGTCTGGGTGACCGTAGTCGGCGGCGAAGGGTCGTGCAGCCACTATGTCGCCTTTACCAACTGATTATGGAGATTGGACAGGTAGCAGCGGCCTCGAATTCTACTACCATCCTTTACTATGCACGCAGTGAAGTTCGGATCTTCACCGTTCCCATGATATAAAATTTTTATTGACGCCAGGGGATTACCTTATATTATACAAACACCGCAATGAGGACGGTTACGGTCGGCCGTCAATCCGATGGTCCCCACTGTGTAACCGACACATTAGTTTGCCGTTCTGACAGGCCGTACATAATCACATATAAAAATTTATGAGGTTACCCGAGGATAAAATGTCTGGCGGCCGCGGGTCTCCCGGATCTTTGTAACAGTGGAAACAATTCTCCGCTGATACATCGGGATGAAAGTTTTATAGGCAGCCGCGGGTCTTTACTACAGAAAAAAAAAACTTTCTCCGCTGATACATCGGGATGAAAATTAAATAGGCAGCCGCGGAACTGTGCTACAGGGTAAACCAATTCTCCATTGAAACATCGGCATTTTCATAGACAGCCGAAGGTCTGTGTTACAGGGGGAAAATCTCCGCTTATACATGAAAATTTTATAGGCAGCCGCGGGTCTCCGCGGGTTTGTGTTACGGGGAGATCTGACACTAAAATTATCAAGATACATGAGTTCTTGATTGACACGTTTTAAGGATGTGTTTTTCCACAAACAATCGGCATTCCCTTAGAAACCAACTTTGCTCCTCTTCTTGCCGAAATGTTCT